TGACTTTTTTTTGTTCACTCTTCTAACGTATTTTTACATATGTAGATATGCAGGAAATGCATCATGATGGCATAGTCCACTGCAATCGAAAACATTAGTACATTCTATAACCCATAGCATCATAAGCCCCCGTTTCGAATTAAAGCTAGATAGTGACACATGTCACACTTATTAGTAAACTATGTTGCAGGTACGTATTTAATGTTTCTGACGGATGCGAGGTGTTCGTTTCAAAAAGTCCGATTGCAATACGGACAGTTACTAATTTGCAGCGTAGTGGAAACAATGCTATTTTTCTTAACTTTCTATTTATCTATATTTTATTCATCTAGCAACGAACTTATCAACATAAATGTAAAGATATAAAAATTCGAGACTTTGCAAAATAAATAAATACGAGTGAAGGTTATATCGTAAGTAATTAATCTGTTTCACAAAAGTAAGTTTTCTATAATATCTCTTCTTTCGCACAATTTTCAATGATCAATAAAATCGTACAATCTGTTAAGTCAGCGATGTATTCTCTGGTTATATTGTTTACTATGTCAGTAAAATACAATTTATTCTCGAAATTTGTAAGCATATTCATTGTTTCCTTATATCTTCACAAAAAAAAAAAAAAAAATTACGAAATCAAAATGACAATCATTAAGAGCGAGTATTTATTTAACGTACCTTTTCATGAAATTTAATTTATTATTTTATTATTTAATTATTTTATCTAAATCTAAATATCAATAATTCGGCTAATTTCAAGATAACTAATTGTTACTAATTCTTATTTTCTCAACATTTGCTTATATACTTTAACATCTACTTGTATATAAAAATGGAAAAGAGCGTTTCGTTCTTTTTTTTTGTACGAAATCTCGCTCTTAAGTATCTGAGCTGTAATCTCAAATATGCCGAAAAGGATGAAAAATAGATAAAAAAATTCTTCGTGAAATAAAACAGAAAAAAAATGAAAATACTATAGAATGTAAGAAACCAAAACCAAACATCCTCACGATCCGCCAATCAAGTGACTTTTATTCTGAGCAATTTTCAATAAATGCCTTCACCGAGAGAACTTATTAAAACAATCAACGGAAACAAATTAAGGAAAGAATAAAAGAAATGCAATTTAATTTAAGGTATCGACTAATGACGATCCCATTTCTACAATACAGACTGATCAGTCTGTTTCAGTCAAATTTTTATATTTTACCTAAATTTTTATCATTTTCAATTTGGCACTACCAAAAGAATTCACAGAACTCAAGACAAGGTTTTTCTAAACGAGAATAGAATTTTTTAAATATAATATTGATATATACTTCTTAATTAATTCTACGATTTACAGTTTTTACTGTCAACGAAGAATTTAATTTTTTTAACGCAAGTTATATGCCAGAAGTCAGGTTAAAAAAAATACTCGTGCTCGGAGTCATTAATTAAAAAAATTAGCAGTTTTCTTTTCCAATTTATGTTGATGGCTTATAAGAAAAATCTGCAAATCATTTTTCTTCAAAAAATAAAAAAAAAAAACATTAGTCTTATTACCCTTCGAATCTTTCGCAATACAAAGCAAAGTTCAAAGTATAAAAAATATAAGAGTATACAATGCATGCA